GATTGGAAGTGTCGGACTCTGCGCCCACGTCGAACTCATCGTCCTCCATTTCTTCCGAGTCGTCTGCATCCGAATCGGATGCCATATCTTCCTCGTCGGAGCTTTCCTCTTGCTTTTTCTTCAGCTGCTTCTTGGGGAGAGCCTTCTTGGTCGATTCGCCGATAGACCGGGTCTGTTTCTTGGGCTGCTTCACAACTTCCTCCTCGACGTCGGAGTCTGCCAAACTGACGGCTTGGAAATCGGTGGGTTCGTCGTCGTCATCTTCGGAGCTGCTGTGGTATGCGCGCTGCTTGCGGAACTTTTTCTGGGGACGGGATGCGATCGAGTCGAGGACTTTGCGCTTTTTGACGTAGGGGGCCATGGTGAGAGAATTGACACCGTAAGGTCGGTCTCTCGTGTGTATAAGATTTGGGAGGCTGTGGTGGAGATGGGGATTAAAATCGGTCGGTCGGTTTTCTTTCTTTTCTGTCGTTTTCCCGGGAAATTTTTGGAGGGTCAGCGGGCGGTGAGACACAAAGAGGCGGTGATTGGCGGGGCAGGCTCTCCGCATCGCGTTGGCCTCAAATGGCCCAGTGGAGTCAAAACGCCATCCAAACTGACTTGCCTCCAGCTGTCTTCATATCTCCTTGTCGTCTTTCCAGTTGTTCCTGGCCATTCTCCTGATATTTCAAAGAAACTATAACTGCGCAACCTGCTACGAACATTCTAATCTTCACTTCCCATTGAATATCCCATCTCACCATGGTCCTTCAGGATCTTGGGCGGCGAATTAATGCCGCCGTCAATGATCTGACTCGGTCTAACAATCTGGACGAGAAGGTGCGTGGCTGCCCTGCCGTGCAACTCCTTCTTAGCTGCTGACTTCATGATCGTAGGCCTTCGATGATATGCTCAAGGAGATCTGTGCAGCTCTACTGTCTGCCGACGTCAACGTCCGCCTCGTCCAGTCGCTCCGGAAGTCCATCAAGTCCAGCGTCAACTTCGCCTCCCTGCCACCCGCCGTGAACAAGAAGCGCCTGATCCAAAAAGCCGTTTTCGATGAACTAGTAGCCTTGGTGGACCCGCACGCCGAGCCCTTCCGTCCCAAGAAGGGCCGCTCCAATGTGATCATGTTCGTGGGTCTGCAGGGTGCCGGTAAAACGACCACCTGTACCAAATTGGCTCGCCACTACCAGATGCGCGGGTTCAAGACCGCCCTTGTCTGTGCCGATACCTTCCGTGCGGGTGCCTTCGACCAGCTGAAGCAGAATGCCACCAAGGCCAAGATCCCGTACTACGGTAGTCTGACGCAGACCGACCCCGCCGTCGTGGCCGCGGAGGGTGTCGCCAAGTTCAAGAAGGAGCGCTTCGAAATCATCATCGTGGATACTAGTGGTCGTCACAAGCAGGAGGAAGAACTGTTCACCGAAATGACTCAGATCCAGACCGCCGTCACCCCCGACCAAACCATCCTCGTCCTCGACAGCACCATCGGTCAAGCTGCTGAGGCCCAGTCCTCCGCGTTCAAGGCCACCGCCGACTTCGGGGCCATCATCATCACGAAGACGGACGGCCACGCGGCGGGCGGTGGTGCCATCTCGGCCGTCGCCGCCACGCACACGCCCATCATCTACCTGGGTACCGGTGAACATTTGATGGATCTGGAGCGGTTCGAGCCCAAGGCCTTCATCCAGAAGCTGCTTGGCATGGGTGATATGGCTGGCCTGGTCGAACACGTCCAGGCTGTCACCAAGGACTCCGCCTCGGCCAAGGAGACCTACAAGCACATCGCAGAGGGTATCTACACGCTGCGCGACTTCCGGGAGAACATCACCTCGATCATGAAGATGGGTCCTCTGTCCAAGCTCTCCGGTATGATCCCGGGCCTATCCAACTTGACCGCCGGTCTGGACGACGAGGACGGCTCGCTGAAGCTGCGCCGCATGATCTACATCTTCGACAGTATGACTGCGGTCGAGCTGGACGGCGACCCGAAGGTGTTCGTCGAACAGCCCAGCCGCATGGTCCGCGTGGCTTGCGGCAGCGGTACCACCGTCCGCGAGGTCGAGGACCTTCTTTCTCAGCATCGCATGATGGCCGGCATGGCCAAGCGCGTCGGCGGGCAGAAGAAGCAGATGCAGCGCGCCCAGAATATGCTCAAGGGCGGAAACAAAGAGCAGCAGCTGGCCGCCATGCAGAAGCGCATGGCCGCCATGGGCGGGGCCGGCGGCGGCGGGTTCCCCGGTATGCCCGGCATGGGCGACATGGCCAAGATGATGCAGATGCTGCAGGGTCAGGGCGGCGGCGGCGGTGGCGGTCTCCCGGGCCTCGGTGGCATGGACTTGCAGAGCATGATGAGCCAGATGGGCGGGCTGATGGGTGGTATGGGCAGTGGTGGTGGCGGCCGAGGTCGTGGCCGGTGATCCTGCTGCAACCCCTCATTCAACTTCGTCCAGCGGCCTTGCATTCTCATTTTTCGTTTCCTCTGGCCTCCATCCGCCCTCTCCCTCAAGTCCCTTCTATCCTCTTCGCACCTTCTTGTCTATATCTGACTTTTTCTCACTATTCTTCCTTTTCATGACTCCGGTTTTTTTCCTCCGCCGGAAGCCACAGCTTACTGCTGATGTCGATGTCGATTGTATTAGCATACTATGGTGTTGGGCGTGTTCGTTTTTCTTTCTTGGTTTCTCCACCGGGTTGTTGATTCATTCCATCCCAATCCATACCGAAATAATCTGATGATAGATGAGGCTTGCTTGCATTGAACCAGATTGGCATGTAACCATCTCCTTTGAACTACGTCCGTTCCCCGAAAAAGCGGTAGATTGCTCATTCGAATGATACCTATCAATCTATGATTTCTCAGTTCAACCCATCTTGTGGCGAATAACCTACAATTTGTGGACCAATTCCCGATTAGCATGTTTTGCCTAGTATCCAAGAGATTCTTCCGCAAGATCATAGCTGCAAGAAGTAGGAAAAAAAAGAAAGAAACTTAATCCAATCGCTCTTTCTTCTGAATCACATCCAAAACATTATACACTACCTTCAGGACACCATCTCTAATCAACCCAACAGTCTCCTCGACTCGTCCGACCCACCCTTTCGCCCACGCATCCCAGCTCTGCTCCTCCCTCGTGTCCAGCAACAGCTTTCCCGGCGGCAGTCGCGGGTGTTTCCACGCCGCCACGTCCGCGACCCGGCTCTCGTACCCGGGCAGGGGGGCGCTGAGCTCGTACTGCCAGACCAGCTGCGTATCGACATACATCGAGTACGTGAGCACCGAGCTGGGCACGGTGACGGGGTGTCCGGATTGGGTGGCATCGATGACCGCGTCGCGGACCTCGATGTCCACCAGGCCGTACTTGGTGTTCCCGTCGGGGATGTACTTGATGGTGACGTCTTCGTTGTCCGTCTGCCGGTAAGTGCGCACGGGGAGGTAGAACATGTTGAGGGGGCCGACGCAGAATTCGTGCAGGCCCTCCCCGGCGGTGTTGGGGGTAAGCTCGGTCGCGGGCAGGTCGAGGGAGGGGTCGGGGAAGCGCGTGGCGCCGAATTCGTGGCGGTCGCCGCTGAGGAGGACGATCCGAATGCCGAGCTCGCGCTCGGCGCGCCAGATCGCCTCGAACACGACGCGGCGCTCGTTCAGGAACCCGCCCCAGGTGTCGGTGGTGCCGACCCGCCAGTTCTTGGTGAAGGGGACGCTGGAGGCGATGAGCTTCCAGCGCACTTCGCTGGATTCGGGGCGCGCGATGTAGGCCAGGAGGGATTGCAGCTGAGCGGAGCCGAGGATCGTGGAGTTGTACTGCGACGGGGCCGATCGGTAGGTGCGGGTATCGAGCATGAAGAAGGAGGCAGGCCCGTGGATGAAGGAGAAGTAGGTCGTGTTTTCAGGCGTCGCGAAGGGAACGGGTGGGATGGGCGGATTGGGCCGGACATGGTAATGGATGTAGGGCTCGAACGCCGCGGGGTACGGTGCAGTGGTGTTGCCTTTCGACCAGTCATTCTCAATCTCGTGGTCATCGAGAGTGTGAATCCAAGGCAGGTCGATGGCGGGCGTACTATCCTCTGGACGATTCCACGAGGGAGAAGAGTAGACGCGGTGGTACTCGCTGCGATAGTGCGAGACGGATGACCCGAAGCGCTGAGGGACATCGACGTAGATGAAGTCGCCAAGGAACAGCATGAACGCTGGTCGCAGCAATGATGGCAGTCGAGCCATTGTTTCCATCATCATCTCGATCCCTGGGATGCGCAGTGGGTGCGACAGCGGGTTGTAGGGAAAATTCGCCTTCATGCAGCTTGAGGTCAGGAAGCTGAGGCGGTTTGCCTGTTTGGTGCCGGGCATTGGAGCAGTGACGAATGAGCCTGTAAGATTGTTGGACAGGGAGTAGCGGTAAGGTGACGACGGCTTCAGGCCTTTGATTGTCACCGTGGTCGTGTAGTCTGTTGACTCGTCCAGAGCATAGATCATGCCCTCTTCCGTCCATCGTGTCGAGTCCTCTGTATCTGTTGGCTGGTAGAAGATGACAAGAGGCAGCTGTGCAGGATCTGGCTCGCGAACCAGTAGGTTGGCGGTTGTTGGTGAGACATAACCGATCCGAGAGAAGGTGACATCTGCGCTGGGGTAGACAACCAGGCCACGCAGCATGAAATCTAGAGTGAGCAATGCAAGCCCAATGTTGATGAGAACAGTCAACCGCGTGGAGCGTGGTAAGCTGGCGGACGGCAGGCCAGTGAACAATGTCTTGAGTACATTATCTGGATTTCGTGGTGTTGTGCGCTCTGATTGTAGGAGTAAGAAGGCCGCCGAAAATGCTAATTGGTCTGGTCACTCAACTTGTGGTTTTTGGAGAGTCTTTAGAATTGCTGCCGGTGGTACTCCGCTCAGTCTGTCGAAGAAGCGTTACGACAGCAGTGAGATACACAGCCAATGCTGTGAAGACCAGAGGCGGGAAGTGGTGTCCGGGGATCTAGAAGAATCACATAACGAATGAGTCGGGGAAGATTCTTGCGGCGAAGCGATTGCATCAACATACCCAGCGGAGGAAGAAGAAGGCCACAGCCCGGACCGTTGCGGAGCTCAAGGCAGCGGCAATCCGCGCGACAGACACCATGGTGCTGGGGATGGTTTCGATGATATTCAACAGGTAGTGATCATTGCCAGGTCAGTAGGCTTTCCCGGGAGGTGAAGCTTGCTGCTGTTCAATTCGCAGCTCGAAGAATAATGAATATTGAAAGGGCGTTGAGTGGCAGGTACTGCAATAAGTTTATCGGTAAGAAGGAGGAGAAGCCGGCGGCGGCGGAGAAGTCGACGATGACGACATGCCGAAACACCTCTTTTTTCTGAACTGACGCTCGGACACAGAGGCACCATGCATCGTTCTTAATTCCATCAGCCAGCAAAACAAAACATTATACGTGCAGCTATAGACTTCCAGCGGAGCGATGGATACACATCCTTATAGTTATATTTTACTCTACATTTCTCCCCGTCTATCGCCGCTGCATCATGTCGCGAAGCACGTTCATCCAGCTGCTGGTCATCGGCCCTGAAGTGAGCTGGCGCGCTGCATCCACGAGATCTTTCATGTGCATGCTCAGGGACATCTCCGCTGCCCAGTACCATGGATGCTCCTGTTCCCCGGGTTTCGAGTTGAAATACTCCCAGCCCATGACGCCCCCAAAATCAGGATATTGTTCAATCAGCATGGCCAGGATAGGTCCGATTTTCTCGGGGGGCACATAGCCCTGCGACCCATTGCCCGGATTGGTCAACATCCCAAACACCACCCGGCCTGGGGACCAGCCCTGTGCGACGATGGCAGCATACATCCGGGGATCATCTGCGGGTCCCCAACCGTTGTAGAATTGCGTGTTGTACCAACCGATCTTTGCGGCTCTCTGTTGTTCCAGCTCCCGGTAGTCGAAACCCGACAGGTTTCCTAGGCCCAGCATGGCCGCCGCAACTGGAGCCAGCGTCACAATAAACTCGTCTCCCAGATCCAGCTTGAGTCGGTCAATAAGTCGGATGATCCCTGCCAACGACATTTCCTCTTCCACGTCGAGATCTAGCCCGTCCAATCCATGGCGCCGGATCATGGCCAGCAGGGGTCGGTAGTACAGTTCGAATTTCTCTGCATCTCCATCCAGGGAGCGGAACGAGCCCTGCGCAGCGCCCCCGATCATTCCCATGATGCGTACCCCCTGTTGTTTCATGCGGGGTACCTCGGCCCATAGGGCGTCGTACATGCTGTGTTGTGGGGGATCGTTGTTCAGTGTAATGTGTTCCGGGTCTGCGTTCAGGTGAAAGGCTGCGAGGATGATGTGCGTAACGCCTGTATTGTTCTGGACTAGTGGCATCATCGAGACATACTGGCCTCCATTGGGACAGAGAGTCTGATGGTACAAGATAACCCGACACCGGTCGGACGACGAAGGTACGGGAGGCATTGTCAGAGATATGGTAGAGGGAACGATGCGTAGAGTGGTATTCCACTACTAAACCCAGATCTTGAGCCTGGGGATAGCAGAAGAGGAGGAGGGAGAAGGGAAAAAAGGTGGAGAAGCGAGATTGCGACACAGCGAAGGTCGCCGCGATCGGTCGGGTGAGGGGGAAATGGGGGGAAGCGAGCAGTGCTGGATTCGGCCGGCGACGGTCTGGAAGAAGAATAGCCCACCTTAACAGCCCCGCCGCCGGTGTAGGTAGGCATAGAACTTCATATATAGTACTGACCTTCGTAGACCATGACTGCTGAGCAGAGAATCGCACATTCGAACCCCAGGGTCAGAAGCTAGGGACAGGGACGAAGAGCAATACGTCGAAGAGGCTCATAAGACACCCCCAGGTTGCGCAAAGAGCTGACACGTGACGCACTGCTCTTCATCTCAGTCGTAAGTGATAGTACCGTACAATACAATACTTGAGCAGATGGTTGGAGGACAATTCCATCTACGTTGATAGTTATCTGTCATGAGAGCACGATATTTGCAGGTGTGACCCGGAGGATTCATTGTGACTCGGTAAAGAATCATCTGTAACTAATTGAGGTGCGATGCGGTCAGCAGGCTCACTGAGTGAAACTGCTGACAATGATGATCCAAGGCCTGAATTGACAGGCAGCAAGGCCCCTGGTGCCTGACGATCGGTGTTTACCCGACCAGTTGGTGTTTGTTATCGCATCTTCCCCGGCGATAACTCATTCATTCCTTCAACGACTCTGGCTTCAATTCTGCATTATTGGTCGACCTATGTAGTAATTCCATCAAGCCATGATACCTCGGCTACCTTGAGGCCTATTTTAGTATCTTGTCCTATATTAGTCACCTCGATACCCTTGAGGACAATCCACCCCCAGCATGGCCGATACGACCACCCATGACACTGTGGGCGCGTCAACTCTCGCGACGCCTCTCTTCATGCCCTCGTCACCCCCCTCTCGTCGTCAAAACGCACAGAGCTACTCTCCCCTGAGCGCGAAGAGTCCTCGTACTGTCGATCGCGCCGCGACCACAACCCACGCCGATGATGCCCGCTCTCCGCTAAAACAAAGCTACTCGCCGCGGTCCTCCCGAGCGTCGTCGCTCGAGCGCGCCGCGAACGACATCGACGCTCGTCTGGCGCAATACACCGTTGACTTCAGCCAGTACCCGAGTACCCAAGCGCTGGACGACCATGTGGATCCTCTTGCGGAATTCAAGTTTCCGCATGAAGACGACCTGTCGGATGTCGGAGGTCCAGCGGATTTCACTGCGAATCTGGAGAAATACCTGATGGGCGACGGCGATACTATGGAGGATAAGCACTTTATGGACTTCCGGGATGATGGACACGACTTGTCGGAGCTTGAGCCCCTGTTTGATGATTTGGAGGAGCAGGAACAAGATCTGCGCCACCTGGAAAAGGAGGAAGACGAAGACCCCCTGCCTCCGCTACCTGAGTCCCCTGCCCAGCCGCGAGGCCACAGCAGGCAAAATAGCCAACGAATGCAGCAGCGGGAGGATACGCGACCGCCACAGCGCGAGCAGAGTTCTCAGTTGCATCAGCCGGCTATCGAGGATGAGCCCGAACCTGAACCAGAGCTTGGCGAATACAGTGAATTCGGCCCACCGATCGACATGTCTACTCCATCGCAATTTCTGCGCCGCGCCAGTGGCTTCAACAGGGATACCACGCATCTAGAAAATATTGAAGAGGATCCGGACGATGAGATGGAGGCAAGCACGACTACCCCGTCAGTACGGAGACACAAGACCCCTTCCCCTCACAAGCAAGAACCAAGTACAGCTGGAGATCTACGGAAGCAAATACTTGAACTCGAAAACAAGCTGCAAGATCGCAATGAGCAGCTGGAGAAGGGTCGTAGGCGCGTGCTGGAGGCAGCATCCGCTGGCGAGCAAATAAAGCACCTTCAGGGCGAGCTGCAGAGGAAGTCGGCTTTGTTAGATGAATTCTACGCCAATCGCACTGACGAGACTATTCTGCGAGAGCAAGTCCACATGCTCCAGAAACAGAACGAAGAAAGAGAGACTTTCTTGCACAAGTCCACCATCAATGCCTCCGAGCTAAGTGCTCTTCAGAAGCAGATTAGCGATATGCAGAAGGAGCTGCAGAACCGTGCATCATCACACCCGAACCTCGATGCAGAGCGGCTCGACACCATTGCATACTTGCGACAGCAATTAGATCTGGCCCAGGAACAGCTGCGTAAGCGCGACGCAACCCTGGACGAGACGATCGCGAAGCTCAAGGAAGTCACCGATGCCAAAGAGCAGCAGCTCCGAGAGAAGAACACTGAAGTGGATGAATTAAAGGCCCAGATCAGCAGCCACCTGCTCGAAATAGAGAAGTTAGACACGGAGCTCGAGAACGTCAATCAAGCCTACGAGACTCTGGAAGAACAAATCGTCACTCTCGAGACGAAGAATCGCCCCTTGGAGGAAAAGAACAGCACGCTCGAAGCCGACCTCACCCGCGCGCAGACCCAAGTTACTGCGCAGGAAAACGCCCTCAAAGCCATGGCCGCCGACCTTCCCCTCGAAACCGGCGGCAACACCTATTCAGAAATTCTCGAATTGATCAAGGATCTGGGCCAACCCAGCCAGGGATCTCGGATTCTGAATCCAGGCTCATCAAGAAAGGACCCAGAAGAACAAGGTCAAGACCAGAGCCAGGACTATGACCAGGCCCCCGGCGAAGAGCTGAAACGCCTCCGAGACGAACTCTCCAAACTTCAGTCCGAACTCACCGAAACCAATTCGGCTAAGAAAACCCTCGAACTGCAGCTCTCGCGCTCGGAGGACCAGGCCGTCGAAGCGCAAACCCTCATCCACTCCATCGAGACCGAAAGCACCCGCCTCAGCAAGCGCGCCGACGACCTTCGCTCGAACCTCACCAAGACCCAGCAGGAACTGACCCAAATAAAAGAGGAGCGCACCAAAGCCCTAGAAACCATCGACCGCCTGCAAAAGGAGCAGCAACAACAACAACAACAAGAGGATGAGAAGAAGAAACAAACCCGGCAGCAACAGCTGCAGAACCAACAACTCAGCCCCCCTCCTTCCCCTCCCGTCCCACAACCACAACAGCAACAGCAATCACTGCAGCTTCAACGTCAGAAGGAGCAAGAACTCCTCGAACAAACCCACTCTCTCCAGTCCGAACTCCGCACTCTGAAAGCGACCCATGCCGCCGAGCTCGCGAAGCTCCGCGAGCTGCTGGCGGCGACGGAACACCGAGAATCCCGGTACAAGGCGCAGGCGGGCTCGCTGCGCGAGCAGCGTGAGCGGCACCAGAGTGAGAGCCGCGCCCTCCGCCTCCAGGTCGAGCATCTCGAGTCCGTGCTCGCGACGAAGGAGGAGACCGCCGCCGCCGTGGACGAGCGGATTGCGCGCTCGGTGGAGAAGCGCGAGAAGGAGTGGCAGCGGCGCGTCGAGCTCCTGCTCAAGGAGCGGGAACGCATGGGTCGCGCGCTGATGTGGTCGTGGGGAGAAAAGGAATTCGGTGGTGGTGGTGGTGGTGGTGGTGCTAGTGGTGGCAACAGTGGCAGTGGAACAGGGAAGGGAAACCTTGCGGTGGGAGCGGACGAGAAGGGGAGGCGGAAACAGGGGTATCGGTACAAGTATGCCGTGTCGAGTCCAGGGCAGGTGTCGACTTCGGTCTCGTCCTTGTCAAGGAGGGGTGAATCTGGGAAGAGAGCCTGAAATGAAAAGAACGATACGGATTTGGATTGGATAGGGCTGGGCTGGGTTGGGTTTCGGTTATAATGGCACTATGGGAATGGAATGCCTTTTTCATCACAGGTCTGATTGACTTGAATGTTTCGGGCTGGGCGGAACCTGTTTGCTTTTTTTCACGGGGTGCTTCATGGTTTGTGTTTACGGTGCTGGTTTTCTTTTCGATTTTCTTTTTTTTGCTTCCTGTTTCTCCTTTTCTGCTTCGCTTTCACTATGATTCCCTGCTTTCATTGTGCTCAGGATAGTTTTTACGGTGTCATGAAAAGGCAACTTACGGTCAGAAACTAAGGAAGGGAGTGGATCTCGCGTGTACAGACGAGAGTCGCCATGTTCTTGGCTTCTGTTCTCAGAGCTTGAATGCGCGCTCAGCTAAAGCAGATTACTCCGTTAATGTATTTGTTGCCATTCGGGCAAATCAAAGAATTAGGTATGGCATTTTAAAATGTCTCAGATCGTGGTATGACAAATCAGGGGCAAATACAAATAGGGGTCGTGAGCTTCAGAAGTACGAAGACGAGAAGAAGGGTTGAAAAGACCGGTTGATACAAAATGTATATTGAGAATCGAAAATTAGGGAGACGGTAGCTCTTTGATGAGAATGAACAGCCTGACCCGCAGGCTCTAGTATCCACTGACACTGTTCGTTCGAGTTGTATCACAATACGCATTCGCTTCAGACAGGTAGCTCTCCGGGGCTTCATCAACAGATGTGCCCGTTTCGCGGATACTGTCTAGTCTGCTAGGCGCGGAGGCGAGACCGCCATATGTGTTGCTGCGGGGACGACGCAGGTTTGAGTATGTCAGTTCAGCGTCGTTTCCACGGATTGATGAAGACATGCGGCGGTTGTGCTCTTGATACCATCGACGACCGTAGTGATTCTGATGAGGCTGGTGCTGGCTTTGAGTATGCCGCGGAATTTGGGAGGAATCAAACTGATACACCTGACTCTGTCGTCGGTTGCTGCGCCTGGAATTCTGCCGGCTGGCCACCTCACGATCAATCGGAACACCTCTGTAGCTAGAGGCCTGGGAAAGACCTGGGCGCGCTGCCGGGAGCGGAGGGGTTGCGGTGAAAGCTCCCTGGTACGGTATATATGCACTCCTGGGAACAGGAGCCGTATGCGCAGTGTTGGACCGGCGTACATTCAAAGGTTCCGGCACGAGGACTTCGGGAGCATCGGCTGAATTCATGGTCACAGATCGTGTGAGGGCTCTTGCTCGCAGCTGATTTTCTTCGAATGTGAGAGCTTCGGCTGTAATGGCTGGCAAAGGTTTTTCCACAGGAGCTGAAGCCAGTGGATGTCCAGGAGCATACTCTTTTTTCGGGGTTGGTGGGCGTTCAGCCACTAAGGCTTCTTTTTCGACATCTGCTTCAGTCGTCGAGTCGGCAAGGGCACGTATTTGAGGGTCTGCTGACAATGGTTGTGAGAATAACTTGGGCAGCAGCCGGCGCAAAGACGACGCGGAGGATTTCTGTCGTTTGTGTCCGGGAGTGGAAGGCGATGCCCCTG